AATATTTATATTTAATCTGATTTAGAGACTCAAATTAATAGCCTAATTTGGCCCATTTAGGGAAAACGTATTAAAACTGTCTCTACCCCATTAAAAATGCTCAAAAATAGAATACAAAAGCAATTAAGAAAAATGAAAAAAAATCATACATAAAAGCATTGTGAAGGGGTATCTTAGTCTGTTTCAGTATTTAAGAACTCTTCCCAACCCATATCCTAAATTTCTTGGCTATTTTATACTAATTCACTATGACATGCCAAATTCATAATTAGTAATCCAATGTAGTGGATTACAAATTTGTTCAAGTCTCAGAACAGAAACAAAGAACAAGGATAAGCAATGGGAAAAGGAAAAAGCACAAGTTTATTGTGCTTTTGCTTTTCTAGGCTTATAATACATTTAATCAGACACATAAATGATAATCCAGAGATAGGATCATCAGTGATATCAGAGGGAATGAAATGCTGAAGATATATAATCTTCACATTCACATGACATTGATAATGTCAATGAAATCTTGATAATACCCATTCAACAAACAATTGTTTGGTGTGACAGACATTCATGTACTGGGGATTTGATTAAGATTTTTACAGTGGTAGGAACACTTGGCCTCAGTTCAATTAATCATCAGAAAAGATGTTGAACCTCTTAACACATTCTTGCTCAACAGAATTCTCCACACAGAAAGTGGCATTTTAATTATTTGTCAGCTATGTGGCATATCAGTGATAGTCTCCATTGGTTTTGGAGCAGCCCAAATTCTGGAAGGTTTAATTTATCTTTTATTCTTTTACATACTGTAGAGACTGGTTAATCTCTCTGGGGGAGATGGGCAGCATATAAATTTATAAATAAATAAATAAATAAATGGATGGATGGATGGATGGATAAATTTATTCTTTGTAAAATGTGGTAAGCAAATAATATATATCACACTGGAAGATGTGCAGATGTATAGACTCTTGATATTATGCATGATATCACTGGGCTCTGTAATAGGGCTGCCCAACGCCGCAACAGGGAAAACACTGAAATCAGTTTGCTAAATGTAAGGCAGTACAGGCCTACTACACTAGACTGGCAAAACAGAACATTGCCCTGAATGGATTGTGATACCTTTGAGTAGTTTTAGCTGAGAATTATTAGCAGCAATAAATTTTCTGTGAATCTGTTTTATAGCAGATTTTTTATGGTGCTAATTTATGTGTATTTTAATTTATGACTAATTTAATTCACTGGGTGAATATTCCAGTTTAAGAAATGCCTAATCTAAATCCTGTTGTTGAAAATCTGTAGTGAGCCAGAGTAAATTTGATTGCATTATAGGGTTTGTTGGATTTCATGATGTGCTGAGTGGAAGCTGGAAACATGGAAACATGTGAAATAGTAGAACAATTGTGAAGTGTTCAGTAGTACCTAAAAAGTTAAGCCTGCTGCATGGAATTATTCCATTCCATTCCATTCCATTATTTCATTTCCTTTCATTATCTTATGTTTTGACACCTGGTGACTGCCTGAACATGTCCCTGTAGTTTTCTCAGCAACGCTTTTGAAAGTAGTTGGCCATTGCCTTCTTCTTCCTAGGGCTGAAAGAGAGTGACTGGCCCAAAGTCATTCATTTGGCTTTGTGCCTAAGGCAGGACTACAACTCACAGTCTCTCAGTTTCTAGCTTGGTGCCTTAAAACACTGCACTAAAACTGGGTCTCATGGAATGATTTAGATTAATAAAGGTTAATAAAGTTATTGATATCCTGATGGAAAATCGCTAGAGCCTAAACAACAGATGAACTGACATGAAGTTTTGATGAATGGGAGTTAAGGAAACATCCTGTAATACTTTAATCACCTAAAACATAAAGGTCCTTCATTGACTTTCACTAAGATTCAATAAAATTCTAAACAGTTTACAAAGAGCTAGGTATTTCCACTGGTGTTATGGTGAGTTGTCAATTACAGAGGGCTCTGGATGAAGCAGATTATCTGCATCCCTTACAGTTTGGGTTCAAGCCTAAGCATGGGATGGAGACCACATTGGTCACACTTGTGCATGACCTGTAGCAGGAATTAGATTAGAGACTGTTCCAAAACTTGGCCCTCACCCTCATTCTATTCAGTATCTACATTAAATCATTGGGAGAGATCTTCCTTTGGCTTGGAGTGAGTTTTCATCAGGATGCTGATAATACTCAACGGTACACCTCTACCCTGAGTCATGTGGGAGATGAGATAGAAGTCTTGATCCAGTGCCTGGAGGCCATGAGGGATTAGATGAGCAGGAACAAACTCAGAATGAATCCTAACAAGATGAAACTGCTGTTTTTGCATAGGCTCTTTGCTAATAGGTTAGCTCCATCTTTAGCTCTTGACAGGGTGGAATTCCCCCAGAATAGCAGGTGTTCTCCTGGACTTATGGCTCCTGATAGAGCAGCAGGGATAGGTCACGGCCAGAAGAGACTTTGGCCTGTTCCAGTTAGTTCACCAATTGCAGCCTTTCCTAGACTATCCTTGAACATGATTCAAAGGCTACAGCATGAATAGAATATGACCTCCTACTGTCTGACTGATGGAAGCCAGTACACCAGAGTGATGCCAGTACTGCGGAGGCTGCATTGTTGCCTTGCCTTCTGGACCCATTTCAATATGCATTTCAATATTACCTAAAATACCCTTCATAGCTCAGGTTTCTGGGGCTGTCTGCTCCAGGCAGAATCTGCCTGCCCAATTCATGCAGGCCAAGAGGTCATGTTGAGTGTTCTTACCCCCTAGAAAGAAGGAATTGGCTGGCATTCTCTTGTTTCCTGAAGTCAGGCTGGCCCTTTCTTTGCTGTTATTCAGGAAATCAATGAAGACTATGCTTTTCCACAGACCCTTGAGTGCTACATAGGATTCATTGAGGAGTGGCTGTCAGGTTGGCTAATGTGATTCAGTTTAATTATTTTCTTATTCAAGTAATTGAGCATAAATAAATTTCAGTCCATTGTGGCTTTTTAAATATTTGCTGAATTCAATGGGTTTTTTTGCAGGTATCAGGCACAAAATGCTAGGTAGGAGCAAGCAGCTGTGTGTCAACAGGCAATTCTTTAAAATTCCTCCTTAGATATATATATAGAGAGAGAGAGAGAAAGAAAGAAAGAGGAGTTGGTTCCAATTTATTGTATTCAATAACATTTAAATCCCATATAAGTGTGTGTACATGCCCACTTCCTTGGAAGTAAGCTATATATCTAGGAATTAGTTCAAATTAAATATGAATAGTGCAGAATATATGAACAAATGAAACTCTACTCTGTATAAGGAACTCCTGAAGGCTTTTGAATGTATATATGAAAAGGTATGAAAGGATTGAAGAAAATGTTTAGTTTATGCCTTTGTCTCCCTTCTAAATAGGTAAACATGAATGGACATGGCATTGAATGGAGCAATGAGAGCGATCGGCTGTTAATATGTCAGATATGTATCAAGCTCGCAGATATCAATGGTCCAGCCAAAGTCAGAGAACTACACCTGAAATGGACAGAGGGAATTATTAATGAATTTTATGAACAGGTAACCTTGTGTAAGCAGAACATATATGAGAAAATAATGCAGATAATCTTATATATGGAATAACTATATGCATAAAATTGAATCGTAAAATATTTAAGTGTATTCTTTTACAGAGAGATCCTAAAATCATGTCAAAAACCAAATGTAATACTAAGCCTGCAGGTTGCCTATTCCTATATTAGACTGTTGCTTATGTGAAGATATACTTAAGCTGATCATAGCACATGTCCACTTTGTATATCCTATTTCATCTGTTTGGAAAATGTGTAAGTGTAATGGAGTTTTAAAAGCAAACTTCTACTTATTTTTGCTGTTTGTAACACTAGGTAAGATTATGCTAGAAGTCCCTTTTTTTCTTCTAGTTTTCTATCCAATCTGTTCTAAATGTTTTGTATGTATCTTTCAGGGAGATGAAGAAGCAAATCTGGGGTTACCTGTTAGCCCTTTTATGAACCGACATTCTCCTCAACTTGCCAAATTACAAGAATCTTTTATTACCCACATTGTTGGTCCTCTTTGCAATTCTTATGATGCAGCTGGCTTGCTTCCAGGCCAGTGGGTTGAAAAAGATGAGATGGAAAACTCTGAGGATTATGATGCAGAAGAGGATAGTGAAGAAGATGAAATGGAAGATTTGGGAACAAGTAAGACTAAATGCTTTTTTGAACAATTTGATTTCGGACACTTATGTCAAAGCAAATATTGCATTGGTATGTCACCTTTATGCATTATCCAGGAAGCTTGCTTATTTCTGAATATTTTCTTCTGTAACTTCCAAATGACAATAGGCCTCTTTTTTCTCCTTCCCCTCTTTCCTTTATAATATGTAAACATATGGTCTATTTTCTAAATACAAAAATGTGCTATTTATTTGAAGTTTGGAAAACGTGTTTTCTTTTGCAGAACTACAAAGAAGAAAAAGCAGACAGCGAATATTTTGTCAACTAATATACCATTTGAATGAAAATCATAAAGTATGGAAGAAAATAATTGAAGAAGAGGAACTAAATAAACCAGAAGGAAATATACATTCAGAAAATACCTCCTTATGTCAAACAGATGAGATTCAGGTCATTGAGGAAGCAGATGAAGAAGATGAACGACATCAAGGACAAGAAAAAACATTTTAGAAAGACTTCATAACAGTGTTCTGGACTGCTCCAAGAATGTATATTCTTACCCATAATGCTGGCTATAAATTGACAGACATGAGAGAAGTATGAAAAATAGTATACTGAATAATGTGAAAGGACATTTATTTCTTCAGCATTATCACACTTCTATGCACTTTCACCACATGGAAATTAAAAAAAAAAACTTTTATTCATAGATTTACTGAATACTGCATTCCATGATGAGAACATGGTGAGAAGATTTTATGTTCAGCTTGGTGTTCAAGTACCTTGTTTTGCTGCCTTCCTGAAAGTAACCTGCCTGCCTCTTTATTATCAAAATGGAATGTACAGTTTGGGGAAAAAATCAATATGAAATACCCAAGATACAAGGACATTCTGTTTTACTGAAGCTCTTGAGACAAATGCCTATACGGTTTAAGAACTGGTATTTTGTTTTTAATGTGAACCTTAAAATCACTGTGCCTGTCAATATTCAGTTCCCATCAATTTAATTTGCAAGAGTTTTATTAACAAAGTTATTGGATTGATTTAACCATTAGATGACTGCAACCAGAATGCCGGGTTCTGGGTTCTTTATGGTTAAAACTGAATTCCTTCTGCATCTGTTTGATGCTTTTTTTTACTGTGGTAAATAACCTGCCATTTTATTTTTCTAAAAATGTACAGGTTTCCAATGAGTATTCAGGCTGATTTGCTAAGTACATCCCTGTTGCCTTTTTCTCATTGTTCTGCAATAGAACATACAAGCTATTTAACTATTTTAATAATTACGAGATTTTATTCTTTTAGTCAATGTTATAAATATGTTCCACTCTTTCTCAGGATTCAGGTTTAAAAACATGGCACAGCAGATTTTATATTTACAGACTTATGCTAATGCTAGATGGTCATTAAAAATTGACTTTCACTCTGTATGTAACCTTCATAAAAATTAAAAGATGGTTTTCTATAAACAAATGTTCTAAACTCCATTTTAATTGCTTTACATAGAGTCTGACATATAAGAAATATTATTGAATGAAAATTTAATGGGACAACCTTTGAAAGAAACATTACTATATTCTCATAAAATCTATTAACCTGATCCATTTTATGTTGACTCAGTTTCAGTTTCACTTTATATAAAATATCCATTTGTACCTGTATGTGGCGGGTAGATCTCCTGCTGTTCCTGAATTGTATTTGTAACTGCAGCCTAATTATTTTATTTCATTTGAAGCCAATAGGCACGACACCATTTAGGTAATTGGCAATTACTTTTTTTTTAAAAAAAGGGGGGGAGTAATATTTGACGGATCATTCCCCACCCCCACCCCCATTTTAAAAGGAGACTAGAGGCCCAGTGCTGGTTTGAGATCACCTTAAGTTTCCTAGGAAAACCTGTGAGATGCTCAATTATGTGAAGTCTTGACACTTAATACACAAAACACACAAACAGAATAACCTGCACATAAACAAAGTAGGAGAGCCAATTTGGTATAGCGGTTAAGGCCCAGCCTAGCCCCTTGTGAGGCAGCTGCTGGCTGCATGAGGCTTTCTTCCCCAGGTCATGCACGGCAGTTTCCTCACAAGACCTGGGGAAGATGGCCTCCCGTGGCAAGCAGCCGCCTCACAAAGGGCCAGGTTGGGCATGCCTCATCAGCAGTGGGAGCAAGAAGGCAGCGAAGGTCAGCTAGGGCAGCGGAGCACAGGGCGGCAGGGGCTTCGGAGTGAAGGGTAGTGAGGGCAACTGGGACTGGGCTGGGGTGGCTGTGGTTTCCCAAGATGGCTGTGGCTTCGTGCCACACTGCTGCAGTTTCCCAGGGCACAGCAGCTTTATGCCACACTGCTGGGGCTTTCCAGGGCGGCTGCAGCTTTGTGCCACACTGCTGGGCCAGGCTGAGGTGGCTGAGCCTTCCAGGGGTGGCTGCAGCTTCACAATGCGCTGTGGCTCAGGGGCTTTTTGCAGCCCCAGAGCCACAGTGCGCCAAGAAGCCCCTGAGCCACAGTGTGGCAAGCAGCCTCAGAGCCGCGCAGTTCTGGGGCTGTTTGCCACCTCACAAGGTAGGGTGCAGGGTGGCCAAAAGGGCAGAGAGATGTGGGAGAGGGAGTCACAGTCCCTTACCTTACTGAGGCTCGGGGCTGGGAGGGACCAAGCCTGGAATGGCTTGGATTGGGGTGGGTCCTTGGCTAACAACCAGTAGAATTTGGTTAACCATGGCAATGGGGAGTGCTGGAATTGCCATTGCTAACCAATGTCATGTGATGTCATGCTTTATGACCGCATCACTTAGCAATGGAAATTCCAGTCCCAATTACCGTTGTAAGTCGAGGATTACCTATAGGAGGGATAGATTGGAGAAATAAGTGAGTTGGAGGTATAAGTCAGAACCTAGAAATAAGGTTTTGGATGGTTCATCCAGATAAAAGCATGCCTCTAGAAAGAGACTAAGAAATAGAGAACATAATGGAAAAGAGAAAAAAAATCATTCCATTGTCTATTATTGGCCAAAGCTTATCCTTGTATATGCCACTTACGTATTGAAGCAGTATTTCCTAATAAAAGTTAGCCTATGTCCTGCCTGGATCTATACGTCCCTGAATTTATGACAGCCACCACCACTGTGGTCGTCTTCCCCTGAATGTGTTTGATTGGCAAGGCTCCAGTCAAGCTGCTGCTTGTGTTGGGCTTCCTGTAGCAAATTTGGTGGCCCCATAGGTAATGATGTAGCTTCTCAAAGGCATATAGAATGGTATAACATTCTTTGACACAAACCAATTACAGTCCAATTGTTTTTTATTCAGAAAACCACCAGATTAGGCCCTGCTTGCATTAATTTAATTAATCAGGGGTTGCAGTATCCCAACGCATCTCTCAAAGACAACAGTAGTTAAGGTACAGTCTGGAACTTGTAGCACAGGACAGTTGCTGAGGGCTGTTTTTAGCTGCTTAAACTCAGCTCAACACTTCTCAGACCACACCATTTTGGGTTTGTTGTTCTAGGTGAGATCCAACATGAGTGCTGAATTTAACTATATTTGAGTATAAACTCAGTAGTACTTGGCTAGCTCCAAGAATTATTATACCTGTCTTGAGGAATGATATATTGTGGAATTTTGTGGCCATCTTACTTTTGTGCATGACTTTATTAGAAAATTCTTGAGATCCAAGAGAAAAATCTTTTGTTTAGAGGGACTATTGTGTCACTTCAAACCAGGAAAAGAGCCACTGGTATTTCCCACTCTGAAAATGGGATATAGTTCACCATTCCATTCTTGACCATCAGTGTTACGTTAGTTCATCTACTCCTGTCTTTTCCATGCAGTAACAATTCAACTGATTCTTCCTTTGCTCATCCACTGAAATTTTGGCACCTTAGAGCTCCAGATTCTGTTTGGGACCCTCCAGAGCATGCTCCAAGTCTGTAAAACCAGCAGTGATATTGGGTCAAAAATCAAACAGCTGAAAGGCACAGAACCATGAGACTAAAGAGAAAGGCTCCTTGGTAGTCATATTTATTTGGGATTTACAGTTGCCCCTAAGTAGGGCACTATGGACTCCAATTAATGTAAAGTAGAGGCTTGGAAGCCTGGGATAGGGATAAAGCTGGCCATTGGAAATGATCCAGTACTTGAAACATTGTCTTCCCCTTGTATGTTTCAATGACCAGCTGCTAGAACTCTTGCTACATTCCCTAGGACTGTCTAATTGGACATATATCCAATTTGCTCTTCTACGGGAGTGGGAGGAAGAATTAAGAACTCTTTGGCAACCTTAGGAATTTCATCTCTGCTTCATTCCCTTGGCTACAAAAAATACTTAGCAATTCCTATCTGCCTGCCAAACACAGTGATTCCTCTGTGGGAACAGGACATCTATCTCCATATTGCAATTTGGCCATATCATCCTTTTCACTGTGGAAGAGAAAAAGCCATTTTCAGTTCAAGAACCTTCCCTTTGATATATCAAGGGCTCCACAAATTTCAACAAGTGTAGAACCATTGTGGTTGGATACTTCTGTCTTCAGGATCTCACCTTCATTGTGCTGCCTTCCAGTTTTTAGCTAAGCCTCAGTGTGGACTTCACCCACTTCAGCCTATTTGTAGATACGGACAATACTGGCAGTCACACAGCTGGCATCTCATATATGGAGGAAGTCAGGGCTTCCTATCCCTATCATCTATCAGAGACTAGAATATACATATGTCTACAACAGTAGTGAGAGCAGATTATGTTCATTTCTACACTATGCTTTCTCTGTACTTTGTTCCAGTCTACCTTCATGGCTTCCAGAACATTTTGCACCCCCATAGAGGATTGCAGTTTTCTCACACTAAGCAATTTCTGAAGGGCTTACAGAACTCATTTCCACCTCATATTCCTAGTTCAAGATTGATTTTTTTCCCAAATTACTAAAAACCATTGCCAGTTAACATCTAATGAGACTCAGTATGATGCACCTTTATCATAGCTGAGCTGAGATCAAACTGAATGAAAGCCAGATTTTAGAAAGTATAATTTATTACAGAGTTGATTGTAGAGACTCTGCTGGAAATAAACATATTTTAAAACACCATAAAAATCTTTTTGCTGAAGAAATGACAACTACAGTTCAGGAAGAGATAGACTGTAGAAGGATCAAAAGAGGGATTGATTTGCCCTCCACTTTGAAAAAGACAAATCTGTTAGTTTTGAAAATAATGGGAGCACAAGTCATTGATTTCCCTTGTATTTGCTCAGACTTTGGATAGATCATAGAACAAATTCTAGAAGTCTGTTACTGTTAAAAAAAAAAATGCAATACAAAATTTTGGAATAAAGATACCTGAATTTAGCCATCAGCATTCAGCTAGAAAATAGAAAGCAGATGTAGCCTTTGTGATAAATCCAAGATAAAGGAGATTTAATACAGTGTGAGGGTGTGTTCTCAAAGTAATGTTGCCTTATTGTGAGTTTTTGTTCCAGAGATACTTAAGGCAGAATTAGAAATAAGACTGCCTGCAGAAGATAAATAAAAGTTAAGAAAGCAAATATTGGCCCTGGGGAAGATACTAAAATTTGTATGTATGCATGTCTGTGTGTGTGTGTCTGTGTGTGTGTCTGTGTGTCTGTGCTTTCTTAACTATAGCATCACATTGTTTTAAATTTAGTATAATATACTTAGATATGTATTTGATATTGTGTTCTGAAGACTTGTTTAATTTACCTTGAATCAACAGAATATTTTTGTTTAGAATGAATCCTACAAAATTTTCCACTAGACTATTTTAAAAGATAAATTGCTTGTCTGAAATTCAGTATACACTAGATATCACAGTAGCATTAATTTTTACTTCTCATGATTTACAACACATTCTTAAAAAAGTATTTCTGGTACACATTAGGAAATATGGGTCCTTTATTTCTCTGTGGCCTAAGTGTGAGATATAGTTATGATTTACCTACATTTGGTTTGTAAGAGGAGCAGTTGATAAATTGGGGTTGTACATGTATGATGTCTTTGGTTCTTTCTTCTGTGCTTTCAGAAGTTTGATCTGCAAATCACACTGGAATTTATGTTGCAATAAACATCAACTTTGGATATTTATTTCTTAGATTTTCTGCCTTTCTTTGAGGAGTTAAAGGCAGTGGACATAGTCTTCCTCCTCTTCCTCCTCCTCCTATTTTTCCCCACAACAACCCTGTGATGTGGGTTGGACTGAAAGAAAGTAACTACCCAAAGACTAGGGTGGACTACAACCTGGATCTCCCCAGTCCTAGTCCAACATCTGAACCAGTACCCCACACTGGCTCTCAACTTGGTTGGCAATGTTTATGAAACTCCCATAAGGAGGCCATCATTGAGCAGAAACTATTTTTGCTTATTCACAAAGTTGGCAAATGTGTCCCTGAGTCATTTGTGTTCCTCAGGGCTAACATGACACATCCAGAAATAATAAGAACAGTGTGTCACTTGAACTTACTTCAGGTAGAGAATTTTAACCACAATCTGAAACCATGGCTTGTTGTAAGATTGCAGCATGGGTTTGCACCTTAATCCAGGTGGAGAAAGTAAAAAAAAAAAAAAAAATAGAGCCCCCGCTGCTCTTGGGTAGGT